GGGGGGGGGGGGGGGGGGGGGGGGGGGGGGGGGGGGGGGGGGGGGGGGGGGGGGGGGGGTACTCTTGTGCTTTGCGTGCCTTAGCGGTTAGACCATTGACCACGCGACCTCGAGAGGACGGAGCAGTGTTCCCACAGGACCGATTACGGATGGCCAATCGTTCCTTCCTACGTTGCCAAAAGTGGCTCGAAAATGGCTTCCCTCGTCCATCTATCCTACCGATATCACTTCCCGCCTTTTCAACCCACTTCCTATGCCCCAGTACAGCTAACCTCTTCTCCTGGCTATCCCATGCCTCAAACATATCCCTGTACTTTTCTTCTACTTTCCCCAGCTCAGTAATGTACACTTCGCTCTCCTTCTTGTATAGCCGGTATTCCGCGACTACGTGGACACGGAGGGGGGGGGTGATCTCAAGATGCTTCATGGCCGTGTGGTGGTAGCTTTGCCCTATCATCCCTTCAGAGCCCAAACGCGGAGTGTTAAGTTCACAGTGGGGGCGGGGTTAACATGCTCTCATAGCCCAAGAAGCGGAGCATCTTGAGCTTTCGCCGGCTACTCGCTCGCAGTTGATATACGTGAGGTGTCCGGCGAGCCACGGGGGGGGGGGGGGGGGGGGGGGGGGNGGGGGGGGGGGGGGGGGGGGCAAGTCATCTCGAGGCACGAAAGCCACGAAGAGAGAGAGGGAGCGAAGGGGTCAAAAAACGACATTTTCCACCGTAGCTTTTTGGACTGCAGGCGATCGTTGTCCTCCTTGCCTGTTGTTTCGTCCGCCCCACCCACTTTGCTGCAAAAATCTGGCCGGTGTCTACCATTAATAGACCCATCCTCACGCACCTGGGCAACAGCATCTCAACGTAACTATGAAGCTTACTTTTTGTTCCCTCCCCCAGGACTACAGCGCATACTTTTACCCTTCTCTGGGTTCGGCCGCAGCTGGAGGGGGAGGGGGCGCCAGCAGCAGCAGCAGCGGCGGGGCCCCCACCAACACCGCGACCATCAACAATAGCAACAATGTGTTCGGGTTGGACGATGGCGGTGGGCTCGGAAATAGGCCACGACAGCAGGGAAGGCTTAAGCTCTGCAGCAGGGGGCTCCTCTTCGAGCCCGCGGACCGCCTGCTGCCCCTCGTCAAGTACCCCTTCCGACACATGGAAACCCAGATGGAGTCTGTGGGAGGGGGGGGCGGCGATGCGGATAGGTGGAGGAGGGGGAGGTCCGGATCGGGGGCGGGAGACGGGGAGGCGTTTAGGTTTCGGTGCACGGAGGTCGTGGAGAGCCGGCACCATGACAAGGTGGGGGATTGAACATGTTCTGTTCTAAAGAAGTTCCTTGGAAATGTTCACGCAGGCAATTTTCGAGAAGAAATATTCCGCGTTTGTTGTGCTTGATGAAAGAAATTTTGACAGGCGCTGTTTTACGAAGAGGTTGCTCTCTTTTTTGAAGAAATTTCTGCCGTTGTGTGTGTATTGTGTGTGTTTTGAAAGAGATTTCGGGCAGGCTTCTTGTTTTTTCCGAAGAAATTTCGGCCGTTGTTGTGGTTGATGAAAGAGTTTCCGACAGGCTTTTCCATTTCGAAGGAGTTTGCGTCTTGTTGGTATTTCTAAACAATATTCTGGTAGGGTTCTTCCGTCAGATAAGAGTCTTCTTACAAAATGACCAGCTCATGCCTTTTCTAACAAAAAAGGTGGGCCCCTACGTGACGAAGAGAGCTCGTGACTACGGCACCCTGGTGGAGTGGAGCGACTGGACCTTCGCGTTCTCGCTCCTGCACACCCCTCTTGAAGAGTTCCTCGGGGAAGCGAGGCGTTTGAGGGAGGTGGCCCTGCGAGTGAAGGAGCGGGGGCATGGGTGAGGCGCGACTTTTTCTCTTACCCCATCATATGAGGATGAAAACCCTTTGTTGACTCCTGCCCGATCACTTGCAGATTGAACACTCGACTCCCCCCCCAATCATTTGAGCGTCAGCTCTGTCTGATTTCTCTCTTGGGGTGCCGGTATCGAGTCGTAGCCGACAGATTGGGGTTTTGTTTCCCCACCCAAACGAAGATTGCCCGACCATTTGAGGATCACTCGTGCCCCCGTCATTTGAGAGTCAGTCTGTCTCACTTCTCTCTCGCGCGCGGTGCTGCCAAATTATCAACAGGTTGAGCATTTTTTCCCCACTCAAACGAATTGGCCGTTTTGTCACATTTATCTTGCCCAACCATTTGAGGGCCAGCTCCGCTTGATTTCTCTCTCTCGGTGCCGCTGTCGAATCGTAGCCGACAGGTTTGGACTTGTGCTGTTACATCCAACCAAAGGCGTCTGTTAGCCAGGCATGCCAGGACACCTTTGATACCATCCGACGGTTTGCTGGAACTGAAATGGTCGAAATCCTAGATGCTTGTCGGGCTGATGATGATGACATGCCGTCGATGCGCAGGTACGAGGAGCCTCTGCTTCGACCCTTGCTGGCGGAAAGGCTGAGGGGCTCCACGGAAAAGTTTGACACCATCCATCTTGTCGACTTCAGGTACGGTGTTGAGGCCGGAACGTGTGCGTTCGTAAACAGGTCGTAGTAAAGTACAGAGGTGTGTTTGGTAAGGTACATACCGAGGCGTACCAGCGGTATTATACCTCCGGTATACCGGTACCGAGATGTTCGGTACGTTCGGTATGGACTTCAATACCTTGCCGAAGTGTTCGGTACGTTCGGTACGGACTTCAATACCTTACCGAAGTTTTTGGTACGTTCGGTACAAATACCGAGATGTTCGGTCCGGTACCGGTATGGACTGCCATACCGTACCGGGGATGCTCGGTACGTTCGGTACGGACTTCAATACCTTACCGAA